TGGGATTACACGCCTGGCTAATTTTTATATTTTTAGTAGAGATGGCTTTCACCATGTTGGCCAGGCTGGTCTCCTGACCTCAGGTGATCTACCTGCCTCGGCCTCCCAAAGTGCTGGGATTATAGATGTGAGCCACTGTGACTGACCCAGACTTTAATCCTAGTTACTTAGGAGGCTAAGACAGGAGAATCCCTTAAACCCGTAAGGCGGAGGCTGCAGTGAGCAGAGATCATGCCACTGCAGTCCAGCCTGGGCAACAGAGCGAGACTCCATCTCAAAAAAAAGAGAGGACTGAAATCTCATTCCTCAAAATTGAGAATACAGCAAGAGTGTGTGCTCTCATTGCTCTTTTATCTCTCTTTGCCTGCTGCCATCCCTGTTAAGATGTGACTTGCTCCTCCTGGCCTTCCACCATGATTGTGAGCCCACTCCAGCCATGTGGAACTGTAAGTCCATTAAACCTCTTTCTTTTGTAAATTGCCCAGTCTTGGGTATGTCTTTGTCAACAGCATGAAAACGGACTAATACAAACAAAAAAAGGAAATAAAATAAAACTGTCCCTATTTATAGATATGATTGTCTATGTAGAAAATCCCAAGTAATCAAAAAAAAAAAAAAAAAAAAAAAAAAAAAAAAAACCTAGAATAAACGAGGTCAGCAAGGATACAGGATTAAGATAAACACACAAAAATGAATTATATTTCTATATACTGGCAATGAACATGTGGACACTCATTTAAAATACCCTTTATAATTATTCCAAAAAGAAATGTGTATAGGATTTATATGCTGAAAACTACAACCGCTGATAAAAGAAATCAAAGATGATCTAAATAAAAGGGGAGATACACAGTGTTCATAGATAAGAAGATTTAACATAGTAAAAAGTCAATTATTGCCCCCAAACGCTAGTTCAACACAAGTCCTATTAAAATCCTAGCAAGACTTTTTTTTTTGGATCTCACTCTGTTGCCCAGGCTGGAGTGCAGTGGTGTGATCACTGCAGCCTCAACATCCTAGACTTAAGTAATCCTCCCACCTCAGCCTCCTGAGTGAGGGACTACAGGTACATGCCACCACATCCAGCTAATTTTTGTATTTTTTGTACAGAAGGGTTTCACCATGTTGCCCAGGCAGGTCTGGAACTCCTGAGCTCAAGCAATCTGCCCACTTCAGCCTCCCAAAGCTTTGGGATTCAGGCATGAGCCACTGTGACCAGCCTAGACTTTAATAGAGACAAGATTGTTTTAAAACTTACATGAATGACAAAGGAACTTGAATAGCTAAAGCAATTTTTATAAAGAAAAATACAGTGGGAGAAATCAGTCTATATGATTTCAAGATTTATTATATAGCTACAGTAATCAAGACTGTGTGGCATTGGCAGAATGACAGACATTGACAAATGGAACAGAACAGCAATCCCAGAAATAGACCCATACATATATGCCCAACTGATTTTTGACAAAAGAGCAAAAGCAATTCAGTGGA